GAGCACGCACCTCCTTCAGACTTAGGACATTGTCGGAGTTTTTATCGGCCTTGAGCCATTCATGCCGTTTCCATAAACGGAGAGAGGCATCACGGAACATTCGATTCATCACTTTCGAATTGACCTGTTCAAGGGCACGCAGGATTATTTCTGTAGAGTTGGGTGGAATGGGTGTGAGTGCCTATTATTAACTGAAAGGTATTTGTGTGCGTGTGTGCTTACTGTGTACAGACTTCACGGACATAGTGAATTAGTCGTACACATTCACTGACACAACGGCTTTACATACATCACTCACGACTGATAGCGGTCGCCTTAGATAAAAAAGAAAACATGCTCACATGAATATACACTGCACGTATGTACGTATACTCAAGTATCTTGTCCATAAATAGATACCAAAAGACACACATACTTAAATATGTATATGTATCTCCTTCTGCTACACATACCGCGTTCTTCCGGAGTCTTAGCCTTCATCACCCATGACTCGTAGTGGTGTCCGTAGATGATGGTAAACGCATGTCCGTGATCGTCTTTACTTGCTTTGCAACCGATATGGCCGTCGCGCACCTGTGAATGAATATAGCGATTAGAGGATACCTCAATGCTACCCCGACAAGCATACACTACCTTCCCGTCTATAGAAATATAAACAAATAGTTATATATATATATATATATATAAATAGGTACATAGCATAAATAAACAAGGTATATACATACTTATATATGTATACACACACACACACACACGCGCGCGCGCGCGCATATATATATATATATATATATATATATATATATATATATATATTGTTTGATGTAGAGTTCATATAATAGCATAGGCATGGGTTGAGGTTCTGTGCTGTCGGAGGTAATGTAGTCGGATCAGGGTCTAGTCTCGTGCACAGACAAACAGGACAACAACCTGACGGATAGAAGTAGACAGAAAGCAGAGTATTGCGCGTTTTCACACACAAGGTCCATCGATACATCTACACGTGGGTTTACGTCTCTAATGCCACACGCCGGTATGCGTTCAGACTTCTTCTGCTTGCCGTACATCAACGTACATATCAACGTACGTAAAAGTCACATATAAGACTCATCGATATATAGGAACAGGTACAATTGTCTCTAATATCACACACCCGTCAGAATACAATTAGGCGATTGCTGCTTGCCATATGAGAACGTAGTATAGCAGGATCTGAATTGAGTCTTAGTACGATGCAATTCCATGATCAAGCAACAGTCCTTTTGGCAAATATCCACACGTGCGGTAGGCATACACACACATGGATCTATACACGCACATACGTCTCTAATGTCGCACGTCAGCATGCGTTCCGGCTTCTTCTGCTTGCCATAGGAGATCATAGTCAGATCTGGGTCCAGTCTAAGCACCGTGTTATCCGCACACTCCACCCCAATGATCAGATGTTTGAGGCAGTCAGAGTCTGTCTCTACCTTATCCTGGCGGCCCAGAAAGTGGTAGCGTACGCGCACCCGTCCAGCGGGCTTGAGATCCAGCCACATCTCTGTATCGCAACAGATTGCGAAGGTGTGCGTTAGCTCGGATATCAATGCACAAGCAATCATCTATGAATTGCATCGGATTGTGTACTTGCGTGTCAATCTGAGAATGTACTCGCAAGTGAACACCTCTGCATTGTACTGAAAAGTTGTATGGTTGCGCGAGGCTGGGTCTGAATATGTATGTGGTGGCCTGGATAAATATTATAATGCGAGAGTGTGGATGTGGAAGGCATGCGCCGAAATGGCCTTCAAATATAACAATTAGGTGAAAAACGATGGACGTAGGTAACTCAAACAATGGCAGCCGATGTTCTTCAGGCTTGCGATCGAGCTGCATACATTTTTATCGTTATATATGCAGATACACACGTACATATGCAGTTGCAGGTGTACATATGTATGTATGTGTGTGTGTGCAAGTGAGCGAATAGAGAAGAATATATATATATATATATATATTGTGTGCAAGTGTGCGAATAGAGACGTA